GCGTGCGAGGGGTGGGGGGAGGGAGGGAGGGACGAGAAAAAAACAGGGGTATTTGCTCTATACTTATACATTTCAATTTCATGAGGGTAAATAGTTCTCCCGCTGGGGGGGGGGGGGGGGGGGGGGAAATAGCAAGTAAAGAGTGGGTTGTCAATTTTGATCAACTTCCTGCTTCTTATCTAGGTCATTCGATTCACAGTCACTTACTTGAAAATCTCGTACTATTATGTCAATTTATCAACTTGAAATGTGGATCCTGTTCACACTCTTTGTTATGTTTGATATCTGTTTGTATATTTATTTACAACAAAATGGCAGGCGTTTTGATAGTTATCATTAACATTATAGAAGCGTTTTGATGGTTATCATTAGCCCTTTATTTGACTTCTGGTGGCTTCACAGAGGGGAGGAACATCAAAGTGAGAAAAATTCAAGAGGGGGAACTCACAGGGGAGGAGGAGAGTGAGAAGAATTCAGGAGGGGGAATAGAAGAGTGATTCAAGGATGTAAAAGAGACAGACAGACACAAAGGCAAAGAAAAGGTAAGATGAGTACTGTGAGAGTGGTCGACAATGACATACAGTGGGGATGATGGTATTTTGAAGTGAGAAGTCAACTGCTGGTAAAGACTTTTTTGCCGTATGAGTATACGTTGCCCAGGGTGTACCACGAGGAGGTATAAGTCTATCGCACACCCCATCTGTTTGTACGTTGATTTTTATGGTTCATTTAGCAAACACGCTTGCATAAATTAAGGAGCGAGGAGACCCGAAATTCATTTATGGATGACCTCGTCTCGTCCCTTTCACCTCACATTAGAGATTATGGCCCCAGAATCATTGTTAGAAAATCAGCACTATGAATGATCAACCCAAATGACTAACGATTGCCCGCAGATTATAGGTTTCTGGGACTTGAACGAGAATTAGATAACCTCAATCAAGCATAGTCGCAACCTTTTCTCCGACTCCATAAACCTTGGTCAGAAAGAAATTTGAAGACATCTATGTTGTTTTATAGTCAACTTATTACAAAGAGATCGCAAACACATATAACAATTTATTCATTTACTTATATCAAATGACGGGCGTTTTGAGGGCTTCACAGAGGGGAGCAACCTCAAAGTGAGAAAAATTCGAGAGGGGGAACAGAAGGGTGATTAACAGGCGTAAAAGAGACAGACAAACACAAAGGTAGAGAAAAGGAAAGATGAGTACAGCGGAAGTGGTCGAGTATGATATACAGTTGGGTCATGATAGTTTAAAGTCAGAAGTCAACTGCCAGGTAATAGACTTTTTTCTCGTTGCCCAGGTACCGTATTTACAATTTACCGTCTCTTTACAATTTAAAATTTATTGACTTTCCGATAATTGTACATTTGTGAGATTAAGTCCTCTAAACCAATACATGAGTGATATAAAGAGATTGGCGTAAGAATAATTTAAAAAAGCTAACTTCATAATTTCAAGTCTAATTCGGCCACTCATACTAATTAATTCTAGTCACGAAGATGAGTAGTATAGGGTCTTTAGAATGCCTTCTCTCAAATCAAATCACTTATTGTGAATACACACTAAATGTGAATGGATGAGAATTCGCCTTCCTAATTGCCTACATTTCCTCCGTGGTTTGCTTAATTTAGTAGCTGCCCTTTCGCACATCTCCAGATGACGTGTCCACTGGGCGAATTAATCATCCTGACTACATCACGTGTTCCTTCAATTTATCTACTTACCAATCCAGGCGATCGTTATGAGGGGGAGGGGGGAGGGGGGCGGTGGGTTGTGTAGCTAATGACTGCGCTCTATAATCGGACTTCGCTCAGTGAAATGAGGAGAACCTGGAGATGCATAAACCCCCACAGAGAGCTGATACTGAATGCTTGTACATGGGTAATTAATAACGATATCTGCAACACAAAAGCTCTCGCAAAATTAATTTAAATAGAAAATAAATGATAATTTAATTCCAATATTATTTAAGAATGCGTCTGGATCCGGCATATTTATGGTTCAGGAATGCGTTTAAACGGGTGTGACTACGTTGATAGATCGCCAGACAAATGCACATTCCGACTAATGCAAGAATTGTTGAGCCAACATCGGCCATGAGGTCTCCACAAGACATCCGTTCTTTATATGGGTAAATTTGCAATTTATTAACTGTTCATTTTGTATTGATAAAACAGAGCTTGTTTCCCTCTTATGTTTTAGCAACGTCTGGTTCGAATTCATAAAAAGAAACAAAGTAGTAAAGGTACAGGTGAGACGGTACCTGGGGAACACTTGCACACCCCACATTTTCGCATTTCCTATACATAAAAACGGTCTGAGACACGCACTACAATTCAAGCATGTCTAGTCTACCGACAAATGCCTCTTCCCTAGTGAAAATACTTCCCTCTAAACGCGCCTTTAAGGATAAACTCTAAGATCAATACTGAAGACTGTTTACCATCAAAACAAACAAGAATATGCATGATCACCATATGAGTGGTTACAAGACTGAAACCCGTTGGAGCACATCCATAATTGTAATAGTAATAAGAAGAATAATAAATTTTTCAATTGACAGAGTTTCTGCTCCTGATGGTAGATATAAAAGACTTGATCATGTTTTCGAATTAATATTCTTAAGTGGCTCCAGCTTCATCGAAGTGATGAAAGAAAGATGTGACTGATTGTATGCCCTAATCTTCAAAAGTGATTACTGAGATATCCAGGTTCTCAGGTCTCCTTAGGTCACTGCAATTTGAGTAGGGTGGACTCACCCCTAGCATCAAGTTTATTTCATTTCCTATCTAATCAGTTGGAATTGACGCGATACAATACGACGTGATCTTGAAGTTTCCCCTTTTTCCCGAGATCCTCAGTCTTTTGAACTCGTTTCCTTTTAGGTTACAGTTACCTATTAACAAACTTCGTTAACCAGTCGACAGACACTAATAGAATGGTTTGAATCTTGTCAATATACCACTCCGATTTCTGTACGTGGTTATTCTCCTAATTCTCACTTCAACTACCACTGTACCTCCTTTTCAAGCTCTGAACATCCGCCAAGATGTCTCCATGTGATTAAGATTGGGAAATTGCTTCCTCATTTTGAAAGCAAACAAAATTAGCCACACAACATTAACCCTTTCCAAATGTCCCATTAGAAGAAAATAGATCTGTGTGAAATTTCAAAAGACCTCATAAAAAAGTGGGTTAGATACTGACGGTTGGTAGGTTAATCTGGCCACAGATTTCTGCGACCGTGCCAAATCCAGGCCACTCACAAATGTTTTTTTTTATTTTTCAAAATCTTGAATCACTAAAATCGAATTTTGCACAGAAAACGCTTTTGCATCAGTATATGGAGATTTCACTTGACCTGGGAATACCACCGCTGACTCACTTGCAGGTTAATGAATGCAAATAGCAAAACCACTGGGTTCTAAGGTGGGGAAAAGTCGAACCATCGCCTATTTTGTGAATTCATGTCGTCTGGAATATCGCTATGGAATTATTCATTGTCTGTACAGTACCCTTTATTCCACTGAGATTAATGAACGCAAGTATTAATGCTACCTACCATTGTGGGATATGACCATAAAATGTAATCGTCTCATCTACCTTTGGATGCATTTTTGTAGTCATGAAGGCTCATTTTTTACTAGTTCCTACTAACTCAGCTTCGGGCTACGAAAAAGAATGCACAGACACCAGTATTCTTAAATTACTAATAATACTAAAGTGTCATCAGCCGCTTCTTGAACCCTTCAAGAATCCATACAGAACCTTCTGCTTCGAGATTTTTAACAATATTTGGCCATCTTTGCATGCACAGAGGTCTTTTTTTTAAAAACTCTAACCTCCAACCGTCATGGTAAACGCAACCTTCACGTCCTCGCAAATTTTAAAACCACGTTAGTGACCGAACGGTAAGCAGCAAGACTAATCTCTCTCACCGGTTCAATTCTTTGTCCTTGAGAATTATGAGGCGATTGTACTACCAACCCGTCAACTGCCCAGTCTCCTCACCCCACATCTCAACCCGTAATTACCGGCTTACAGCCACTGGTTGCGCCACCCAAGACATCACAGGCCCCCAAACCTTACCAATGAAATACTGTTAATTCCACAAGCTCAATACCACCAACAAGGGGCAGATACGCGCCTGAGTCATTTGGTTGATAAACTTTTATTAGAGAAGTTGGAGTGTGCGTTGCCGAAATCGTAGCCACAGCGGCGAGGATTCACACACACAAACACACACACACAAAGGTAGAGCTAAATATGCTTCCATGCACACACACGCACACACGCACTCACTGACTACTCAAATACTACAAAGGGGACACACGAGGAAAACAGCAAGATGAGAAATAACAAAGGAGAGGGGGAGAGAGAGCAAAATGCGTGTGTCACGGAGTAGCACAGTGATGGATGCGTGAGAGATCACGGATTTTTCTTCTTTTTGGCTAATTTTGTGGGAAGAGGGGAGAGGTAATAATAAGGATGATTCCCCTCGAAGAAAACAACACGCGCTGGTGGTATAAAATGGCAAAAAAAGGAAGAGCTCACAAAATGAGGAAGGGGAGAGGGAGACCAGAGAGTCGCGTAAAAACACCGGAGGAGCGCCACAAAAGAGCTGGAGGGGGATGTAAATGCAAAAAAAACCTTCCAAGGATCGTGTGTGGCACTGAGCTTGGTTGGTTCACAATGTTTATATGATCGCCTTTTATCATCACAGTTCAAAGGTGAGGGAATATGGAAAGACAACTGGTGTGCGGGTCCTGCTGATCACCAATTCGAACGACGGAGATTACGAGATAGCGGAAAAGATGAAAGAACACCCGTTTTGATTGCGCCGTTCTTGAACCTGAGAAAAGTGCGCGTGATGTACTGCACAAGTGGAGAGGAGTAAGCACAGCTTTTTTTGGAGTTTATGTTGTTTAGGAACGAAATGCAAAATGACAGACAAAGTAACGGACGGCGACATATCCTGTGATTGGCACGTTAGGGCTCAAACATGAATTGAAGCTTGTCCTCCCTGTCCGTCCTAAAATACAACAATAGCCAATACACAACAATCTTTGCCAGGAACGCGTGGGAGTTGAGTAGATGACTTACTCCGCGTCTTCTGATATAGTATCCAGCGTTGTAGGACTGGAACACCCAAGACGCATTAGAGTGCGCTTGGAGAGAGTCCAGGCCAGCGCTTTACGACTTGGATGAGAATCACGATAGAAGACGTCGTAGAGCTCTTCTACCAAAGCGGAACACTGAAGCACTTCATCCATCTGAGCCTAGATAGCACATTAATTTCAGGTTAGATTCATGGGAACATGCAAAAAAATTGTCGAGACGAAAAGGAGGGACCTTACCTTGCATAGTTCAGCTAGGGACTCGACTTCAGCAACATTGAAATGGTGCAATACGGCTAAAGCGACAACTTGATACGTGAAACGATAGATTTCGAGGGAACAGAGGGCCACTACCAGTCTATTCGTCATTGCATTCCAAATATCATACATTCTTCTACTCTGACGACCTCTGTTTGGGGTGATTTCAGAGCCATCAGAGTTTGGGAGCGAATTGGGAGGCAAGAGAAGCTGACCCTGTGGACTCTCAGCATCCCTCGAACTTGCTGTTGTGCCTTCTGGCAAAACAAGCGCTGCTGAAGCGAAAAGACGTAGAAAATCGAAGGCGTTAACACCGTTTAGATCTCCTCCTAACTTTGAAGCCATGATCTGCTCCATTCTCAAGAGATCTGCAGCTGTCCCTCCACAGTGTGAGATCTGAACCAGTGATTCAGCAGGTGGAATGCCTGATTCCTATAACAAAAACGAACAAAAATATTTAGCTTAAAAAGTTGACAAGACCGTGACGAGGCTCACAAAATCACTTACCGATTCCACAAGCTTCGCAGCAATGTGGTAGGACGCGGCTGCAACACAAGCCATGTACTTTGGTTTAACCTGAACACACAAAAAAATCAGTAAATAGGAACATACTCAGGAGCCGAATAACGAATTGAAAACCAACCTTGACTTTGACAATGAAGCGGTCGATAAGATTGACAGCTTTACAGAAAGCCTCAGCGGAGAGAGTAAAAAACGCATTATGCATGAAACGAAGACTATGTACAGCTTCATTGCGAAGATTTGCATCGACTTTGTCGTCCGCAATCTGGGGAAAAAAAGATGGGAGAACGGTTAGACATTTGCCACACTTTCCAACTTATAATTACGGTAGTTACGCGTGTCGTGAGGAGATTGGCTTTCAAACTCAACCTTCAAGTGCGTACATGCTACCTGACGTGTGAGTGCACCAGCACCTGGATACTGGAAGACAGATAATGCACCAAACGAAAGTGTGGGTTAGCGCGATAGAACGCGCGCACACTTTGCATGCACAGCCAGCACCTGGACACATCAGTGAGTGTACGCAAAAAATGCGTCAACCGTGCGCACCAAAGCTACAAACAGAGCTTTGCGCGCGCTTGCTAGATGCAAACTAATGAAAACAGCTGGGGGTAGCATAGAGGAATCAGCTGATTGATTCTGCGCAAAACACATGATAAAATTAAGAACTAGGATCAAACCCTTCTGCGAACCCAAATCAAGATAAGTAAACCACAGATACGAAACGCAGAAAGCACGTAACTCTACGTAGTCTATAGTAGTCTCGAAATTGCATAGAAAATCGATATCGTACCTACCACAGCTAAACAAGGTTCTAAGGCGTCTGCAAAGGCAATCTTAACCTAAATTTCGCTTCAGTATAAAAAAGTAAGTCTTACTTTGAAAGAGATTAGACTGATGATCAAAAAATGTCACAAAATGATGTGAAACAGCAAAATATGAAACTCACTGGATCAACGTAGTAAAGGAATGCATTGGTGGGACGATAGTGTGGTTCTATCTCTAAAAGCATCTGTAAACGATTCTGTGGTATTCGGGATAACTATAGAAAAAGTGAATGAGACGTCAAGGCACATTCTGAAAGATTACAAACAGAATAAAAAATTAGGGAGAAATAGAACCTACATCGCAAACTATCTCCGTAGAACTCTTAGAGCCGTCAACCGGAGTTAGGGAGACAGGAGCAGAATGATTTCGCATTCTGCGTTGGAAGATGGACCCAGCTTGGCCATTGCCAGGAATACTACCACGAGAGGGTTTGTTGGGACTATATTTACAAGGATCTGATTCATCGTTCATGGACTTGTCTGCCTTCGAGCGTTTTGGATCTTCATCAGCAGATGAGTTTGGCGAACTTGGACTTTTCGACTCGTCACTTGGAGACTCACTTAACGGGCCCCTATTAGCTGCATTCCTGGAAGCCCGCATTTTCATCAGAGTGCGCTTAGTGGCTGCTGTACGACGTGTAGCAGTAATAGGATCTTCAGCGAGATGACTTGAATTTACAAGAAGCATCGGAGACGAAAGAGACGGGGTCGAATCATCATCAGTAATTGCATCGGAGATACCATGAACTACCTCAACCATTGTGAAAATCTGCTACCGTGTAGGAATTATACAAATGTAGTAAGAATATGATAATGCTCTTCTAGACTCAACAGGGTTTAAAATAGAAAAAGGAGAGGCGAAGCCAGCCCGAGAACGCAGAATTCTGCCATCAACGCAATGTCTGGGCCAATAAATAAGCTATCGTAAAGCCAATGGGCAAGCGGCCTTAAACGCACCAATGCGCGTGCAGACATACAAGCTGTCGAATCACCTTGTCGCATCTCTCCTACTGGTTATTGTTTGTGTGCGCAAAATGAAAAGGAGTCTGCAGATTTCTGTTTCAAAATCTGGGACGTTTTATCATGTTCCATAGGGACATTGATTAATAGGGGCATTGCTTATCTGATGCCTTTTTAAATTTTACCTATGTAGTGGGCTAACGGATATGGGTGAACTGTTATTCATGTAAAATTAGCCCAGCTTTAGATACTATTAAATGACGAAATTTGAGACGAAATTTAATAATAAATGCTGAGAGGGTCAGCTAAAGCCGATTGCTGGCCCATGAGTGTAATAACAATATCCAAAGTCTCATTTCATGCAGTTTCACGATTAATGAGGAACAAGTTCAATTACCTGGAATCTCGAAACTACGTTTCTCCACGTTCAATATTGGGATGACCTTAAATTCCCTTCTTTCGCCTTTTTTGCGTGGCAATCATGTATACAGCTCTGGTAAGTTAGAACTAACATTGGTCTTCCTTTACAAGGTCAAGTGCAGCTATGCAAAATGGATATTTTTTGTACAAAATTTAATTCCCCATTCCTGGCATTACGACTGAGAGTCAGCTAAGTTAGTGCGCGAATATTTAGCCCAGTTGATTGCAAAAAAAAATCACCACTTCATATTCATATTTGAGTACAAGTACGAAGTTACCAAATGTATTAGAACGTGTTCAGAAAGAAAGCAATGCTCTTATGCAATGAATCACTGTTCCTCATTAATAGGGTCTTGCAATGCCGCCAATTTGGTTACTTAAAGTCGCACAAAAGACGAAAAAAGGTATCTACCCTTTCAACATTTTAGCTACCAGCGTTTAACGGGTCATAAAATCTATCTGTATGATTATAATTGAAATAGTAATTGCCCTAATCGTTAAGTTAACAATTAAATTAGATTTTGACTTCATAGCTTCTACAAGAATAGGTTCTAATAATATTATTCAGGCTTGAAAATGTTATATTTTACGAGGTGTCATTGCAATGCTCGACATGGGATCATAGTAAACTCAATGATAAGATGATATTGGAAAAAAGATTGGACATTTCTTGAAGTTAAAATGACTTTCGACAGTGTATCTCACTTCCATTTCTTTAAATATTTTCTCGGACTAACGAAATATGAACTAGGGGAAATTTAATCGATGAAATCGTGAACTTGTTTCGAAAATATTTTGATTTCTTAAAAACTCTACAATCTAAAAGATTTCTAAAAAATACTTTACATGAGTCGTTATTCAGTAGATGTTAGTTCCTCATCTTCTAGTTTGATTCGGTAGTTTTAGGATGATCCCCAATGAAGCGCAACCTATAAAGTGTTCAATGTTCTTCTGAATTTTTGATGCAATATTTTCAATCAAATATGAAAATCGTGTGTATTAAGGATGTGATCCTAACATTTTCTTAAAACGACATTTAAGTAAAGCACAGTAAAATTAACATACGTTATGGGACTAGTAGAGACGGGAGAAACAGTATAGTCATTTTTAGGCTTCTGTGAAGAGATTGTAATAAGTATAGGCCATGTCAAACCAAGTTTAAATAATGGGAAAATATTTGAACTCGGGAAATATAACGACAGTCCAATAAAAAATAAATGGATGATTGGAAACAATTAGAAATTGACAATCATGCCATGGTGCCAGGTGTCTGAATTTATTGGAATTCTGCTAACTCCACACACTAATTACGTTTAGTTTATTGTATAACTATTTTTAGACTAAAAGGGGAACAATGAGTGAATGGAACAGGAAGGGCGTTCACTCCGAGTAAAAGTCTCTTTCCATTTTTTTCGAATGTCATTAACATAATATCGAATTTCACTTAGACGTCCTATTTTACGTTAATTATTTAACATTTTAAATGTTAAAGGAAGCAAATACATATGTAATAGGTATAAATGTGCTTTTATTTCAATTTCAAAATCAATACTTGAACATAATTGGAGGGGGGGGGGGAATTTTAAATAATCTTGATCTTGTTGATAAGAATAGTCAAGACAAATATTTCGAAAGTAACAAAATTGTTTGAGAACTTTTCGGATTCTTATTGATAAACTAATCAATGTAGCGTAATTAATTAATTATTCTAAAAGACGTGAGCAGAGCGAATGACTAATCATGTAGAATGTTCTAGTATTTTGTGGAAATTTCATGTAACAAAATGAATTAAAATTCATTTGTGCAATGTACTCTAACGGAAACGCAAATGAATACAAACCCGAAATGCAGTTCAATTTTGTTCCAACCATTATTTGAACTAACACCTAATTCCTTGAAGTTAACAAACTTTGTATGTCCTTAGAACCAACGAAGACCAGCCACAGTTCAGGTCTTTCATAAGTCCCTATATTTTTAGAAGATTCGAATCTTCAGACTTCACCTCCCTCTACATTCACTGAGTACTTTTTATCAATATGATCATTTAGTACCTTTTTAATTGTTAATTATAATGGATTATTAACATCTATGCAAGGGCATACGACATCTCAAAGGGAGAACCTTCGGAAAACATTCGACAACTGAATAGAACGGTGCGTAATTAAAAAAGTATAAAACGTGAGTGTAGAAGAAGGAGAGAAGTTGATATTATCACTTGAGTAACGGGGTTTATTCCGACGATTGATAGTTCGAGTGAGTAAATCCGTTTGGTTTTAGTTTAGTCCGGTGACTCGTCAATAGATATGGAAGGTTGTTATTTAAAAGGTAAACGCTGGTTCATTTACCAGTTGATTTATAATAATTGGGTTAAAGAAACCCTTCTTTGAAATCTAAACATCTCAATCAACGCTAAGTGGTTCTCAAGTTTGAAAAAACAAATAAAGTACAAACAGTTGTTTGCGGGGTGTGGGATAGACTTACTTCCTCGTGGTGCACCCTGGGCAGCGTATAATCATACGGCATAAAGTCTATTAACCGGCAGTTGACTTCTCACTTCAAACTACCATCACCCCACCGTATGCCATATTCGACCCCTACCATGGTACTCATCTTACCCTTTCTGAGCCTTGGTGTCTATCTGTTTCTTTTACATCTGTGAAGCACTATTCTATTCCCCCTCCCGAATTCTTCTCATTTGATGTTCCCCCTCCCCTCTGTGAAACCCGAAGTGAACTAAAGGGCTAATGTAACTATCAAGACGCCTGCCAGTTGTTATAAATAAATAAATATTAGATTTGCTACTATTGGTTAGCTTCGTATGCCCACCTGTCCATCGGTGTTGCTAGTCATGGGATCAGGCCGCTTCCGAAATGGTGAGACAAGATTACTGCGTTATAAAATATGGTCTTAGCCTGCAAGCGGAATTTGTATGTCTTCTAATGATATTCCAACAACATGCTGGAATAGTTTGCCCAAAGCTCATCCCCATAGAGGATGTAGCTTCATAGTGACCTCCTGGCGTAAAAAACCGAATTTGTTCACTCCTTTTATTGGATCAATTTAATCAATGTGAGTTGTCATTCACTTCATCGATCACACGGCCTCTGAGTTCATATAGAGTTCAGTTTTAACTGATTCACAGGATGCTTTCAGCCTTAAAGCACTAGATTAGCAGTCAGTATTATACGTTACTGAGACTTCGCTTGACCTCACCATTTTTAAGGCTGATTTAAGACCAAACGACTTAGGACTGTCCTCATGGTCTCTAAGACAAACTCAGCTATTTTGAAAATATATGAGTTGGGAATGATCCTCGCAATCCCCTTTTTACGACCCGATAACATGGCCATTTAACCTCCTCACCTAACAGTCATACCGAGAAACAGCTAATTTATTTTCGAACAAATAAACTGAGACTAAGAGAGAGAATACCAAATGGTGTCTTCGTTGGCAGTTTGTATCCTTCATTCTCTTTTTGGCCAAACGCTTTCGTCCAGCCTGGAAATACGATCTATGCCTGCGTGTCCAGACAGTGATTCATTGTCTGCAATGTAACAAAGAAATCTCTCTCTCTCCCTCCCTGCCTCTTTCTCTCTCTCTCTCTTCGCTTACCATGGTGACTAAGTTGGCCAAATTATGTTGGCTATTGCTAAGCCCATTTTCTTTGTGCTCTTCTTTGTGCTGGTAAGGAGTTCTCTCTTTAAATTAATGCAAAAGGTACTTTAGATGGGTTTTGATATAACAATGTGCTGATGGCTTCCATTTCGACTTGAATATATTTACAATTTCCCTTGAATGCCAATTTAAAGCTAAGGTTAAACAAGTGGTTCATTAACAATTTATTTATATCAAATGGCAGGCGTTCTGATAGTTATCATTTGCCCTTTAGTTGATTTCAGGGTTCACAGAGGGGAAGGAACATCAAAGTGGAAAA